TGAGACCCCAGAGATAAATGTAAATCACTCTTAAACATCTCCTAAATAGTCTTTATGCTGTTTTTTCTATCTCAGTTGTAACATGGGATAGCAAGATGTGAATAATTAGACTGCTTTGAGACATACTTTCATGGGTTCTTTGACAATCTGAGCTCTGAATTATCTGGCTTCTTGGTCTCTAATATTTATAAAATTAAAACATTTTGCCTAAAACCCCAAATATACTTAAAAATTGGCAGTTTTTACTCTGGGAAGATTTTTAAAGAGCTCCATGTTGAGTAATACACAATTTTTTGCTTCTATGGTTGAACACGAAAGCTTGTGAACCATGCAAATTGCTGGGCCCTGGCCCCGGAGATTTTGAAGCACACACTGTAATCCATTAGGGTTTTGAGAAACTATAAAAACTTGGTAGCTCTTAGTTGACTGTCATGCAGCTAGTCTAAGGACTGCCCTTTGAGATTCCAGTCCTAGTACAGTGATCTCTGAGGTGACGCATGTACAACGTAGGATATCTGGAAGAATATGCTGGAAATTTCTACTTACAGTTTAATTCAAAGCAAGTAAATCTTTACTCAACTTTAATACACTGGAACTTTCATTAGGTCATGGATTTTTGAGAGGAGCTCTTAAAGGTGTGGGGTGGGAGTTCGCAGTCAGGGGAGCTGTCTCTGGCACTCTCCATTCTTTGCTTTAAAGCAAGGTGCTTTTTGTGCCAGGTAAATGCTTATATAATTAAAAAACCATTTTTTTAAAAAAAAAGATTTATTTATTTATTTATACAAGCACTGGGTACAGTCAGAAGCGCAGGAGGGTGAGAGAATTCACCAGAGCCAGAGTGGGGAGCAGAGCAGGCAGAAGGACCGAGATACACTGCTGAGGGGAGCAGCGGGCGGCAGAAGAGTCTGCACGCCACGTGGGACCCTCCTCTGGTGGCCGGGGAGCAGCCGGGATCGAACCGGCGCTGCAGAGGCTGTGGGCAGCTTCGCAACCCAGCACTCAACCGCTGCGCCACCAGGGAGGCCCTCAAAAACCATTTTTGTAAAATAAGACAAGTGGGTTAGAAAATTCTAAATCCCTAAAGATGACTGTATCCCCAAAGATACAGCAAAGATGACTAGAAATAATTCAAGCACAAGAAACCAACACAAAATGGTAAAATTGATGCTACTAATATGAGGTCTTGGTTAGCCATAATGGAAGTAAAATCTAAGAGCATCTTATCAAACCTATGGAATATGGATCTATATCCAGTGTAGTTAATGAGGAAGCTTGCCAGCTTTGTTACCTTGGGGTCTTGAAGAGATGAATGATGGTAGGAAGCCATTACATTAGCAAGACATTTTTACAATGACATTTTCATAAAGATTTAAGAGATTTTTTTCTTGTGGAGTTTTCTAAAAATTGCTTTCTTTTATCATAGTCTTTAAAAACCCATTCCTCTGGCCACCTTGAATATTACAATGCATCCTGAATTGTCTACTCTTTATTCTCTTCTATGTGAAAAATGTTGTAGAGAAAAGTATTCTAGGATTTAAGTAGGTCTTTTGTCTCAAGAATCAGCAAACCATCTGGGGGAGGTTAATGCTTTACAGCTACAATTTTATGTTTTGCAACCGACCAAAAAAATCCTCCAAGCAGACTTTTATGTTTTGTATTACCAATTAAAGGCTGGCCTCTTCACTTTTCATCTGTTTTTGGCCGTTACTGTTGTCTCTAATTACTGCACAGCGAATACTTTCACCATACGACTTCTAAAACTGCAAACTTTTCATTGAATTTTTATCACCACAGCATGAATAATGCATTCAGCCTTAAAAATGTCACAGTGAACATCAACTGGCTTTACATAATGAATTCTTGCTGGAGTTTCAAGAAGCCAGCAACCCAGGAAATAGCAGAGAAGACAAAAGTTTGAGAAGGAAATGATACAGATTTCTCATTTACCCTGAAGGGGTAACATAAGTAGTGAAAGAATAAATGGAAAGACTAAGAAATGAAAGTTTTTTTTTTCTTTAAAACATGAATGGGGGAAAAAAAAAAGCAAAATTAGTACACTGGTGACAAGTGGAAGAACAACCAGAAGGAAGTCAGAAATGAAAGGCCTGGGGCAAAAGGGGAAGGAGGGGTGCGTGAAAGGGGAAGGACAATTAGGAACAGTCTAAGTATAAAAGTTGAATTTGAAATTGTAGTGCAATGGTATCATTGTGGAACCATAGTGAAAATGTAACAACTTTCAGGATTATTTCAATCTTTTCTGACTGAAGAGTCTTGGAATAGAAATACAACTGTTAGAATTCTACTTTTGAGTCATTAGCTGATGAGTGTTCATCCTTCTAGCATCTCTTAGATTTTGAAATAGATCATATTCTGATAAACCAGCCAGAAAGAAGTATCCAATTCCATACGGAACACACTATTTTTTAAAAAGTATTTATTTACATATATTTTACATCATTGTTCATTTTTGTACAATATTTGATTTCTTCTCTCAGGTGTAGTCCCTGTAAAATTTTCCCACCACCAGTTCACCGGTGCACCATCACCATAGTCCCTTGTGCTCTTCCCTCCCGTTTTGATCCCTCTTCCTTCCCCCTCCCCTGAAGAATGTCTCTGATTTATAATTGCCTATTAATTTTTTTTTTATTATTATTTTTTGGGGGGAGGGAACACACTATTAACTGACTACCCAACAGCTGTTCTTGACTTTTTCTTGCTAATAGAATCCTAGTTTTTCCCTTTTCCAGATAAGAGTACAGTCTATCAAGGTCTCTTGATCTCAGGGAAGATGGGATTCATCCTAGTTGCATGGAGTGAATCATGACTGGCCTAAAGCAGTCCCATAAATTTCACTTCCATAGTCTGCCACCATAGCCCATTGTGCTCCCTCCCCAAGGTTTTCACATTTTTAAAGGGTGTTAAAAAACAAAACCAAGAAAAGAAAAAGAAGGAGAATATGTGACCAAAGAATAAATGTGGACACAAAGCTAGAAATATTCACTATTTGGTCCTTTATAGAAAAATCTGGCTAACTTTGCATCATGAAGGTGAGATTAGGATTTTACTAATATTATTAGTTTAGTATTTAATACTTTTGAAAAAATACTACAGTGTAAGGTTTTTAGCATTGGTGAAGATGAATTCTATCTTCTAATTAAGTTTCTTTTTAGTTCAACATTACTTAAGTTTTATTGTTACAAGACTATAAAAGACACTGGAATTATATAATGAATGAAACAAGGTCATAATGCAGATCAAAATTACTTCAAGTCATCTTTTCTAGGAGAAATGATCCATGCAGTCTTCCAAACAAAAAAGAAGGGCCTGCATGAAAAGGACTGCATGCAAAATTTTAAATGTATTCACCTTTTGCTAAAGATATGGAGGCAGCAATGGCAGCAAGTGATTGGAAATCTGGGCCTGTAACTCAGGAGCAGAAGAGTAGAAAAGGAATGAGGAATCATTTAACAGCTACTTTGTGCATGACATTTAATTATCACGTCAATCTCAATAGCTGAATACTGTTTTGTACTTCCTACTTCAGGTCATACTCCAATACAAATACTATTTTCCCACTAAAGAAAGGGAAGGCAGGGCTGAAGATAAAGATTAGGGAGTTACTCATATAATTATTTTAAGACTGGAGAGCCAGATAGGGCAAGACTGTAGAATAAATGAAAAGGGTCAAACATAAAACCTGAAGGATTGCCTTCATTTAGTTGTGGGCAGAGGGACATAAGGTAAAGAAAAACCCTGAAAACAAGCAATCAGAACGTATAAAGTGAATTAACACAAATAAGTTTCATGGAGACTAACAAATTCACAAATTTTAAGTTTCAGTACCCTTAAGCCAGGTGGATATGGATGAAATCAATTTTGTTAATAGGAGATAAGGGGAAATTTTACAGTAGTAGCCACTAGTCACTTGCAGTTAATTACACTTAAATGAATTAAAATTAAATAACATTTAAAAATTCAAAATTCAGTTCTTTACTGAACTAGCCATATATAAAATGTTCCCAAGCACATGTGGCTTAGATATTATTAGAAAACATTTCTATGATCATAGAAAGTCCTTTTGGAAAGTTTTTGAAAGTATTTAGTGTAGATACAAAACTGCCCACAGCCTCTGCAGTGCCGGTTCGATCCCTGGCAGCCGGCGAGGGTCCCACATGGCGCACAGACCCCTCCTGCCCCGCCGGCTGCTCCCCTCAGCAGTGTATTCGGTCCTTCTGCCTGCTCTGCTCCCAGCTCTGGCTCTGGTGAATTCTCTCACCCTCCCGCGCTTCTGACTGTACCCAGTGCTTATGGGCATCTCCTGCGTTTTTTCTGATGTCACCAAATCTTTTCCCTTTCCCTGTCATTATGGTGTCCCAGCTAATAGTGTTACTTTACTTTAGCACTGCACTATTCTGTTCAAAAATCTTTTAAGTCTCTCCCCCTCCACCCGAAGTTTTGGTCATATCACTCCGTCTCTTCCATGGACTTCTTAGGCGTAACACAACGGGGTTAAACCTAGAATCTGGCACAGGAAGCCCCCCTTCCTGTCTTACTTCCCTCAACTGTCTTCCACCCATCTTCCCGTCACTCTAAGGTACTCACCCTGCCCCTGGCATGTGCAGGTATGGTCCCCTTCCTCCCTGCCGCTGTGCGAGCTCATCTTTCGGACGCCAGGCCCTCGCCCACTGCCCTATAGGGTTCAGGAGGAAAGAATCGAGGGATGGGGGGGTGGTCATGGGGACGTTATAAATTGACCGAGGGACACACACACCTTTTTGACTGTGTCCAATTGGGGGTGGGGGCTACCGAAAAAAACAACCTTCACTTCCAACTCTTACTACGCCCCCAAATAAGACGACCGCATTTTCATTGCTATGGAGAGCAGTTCACTGGCCTAAGACTCGGCCAATAAAGAGTGGACGTGGGGAGCTGGGCGCCGAAGGGGGTTGTGGGAGCGCCGCTCGTCGCCGCGCAGGCTCACGGGAAATGTAGTGCAGGTTTCCCCAACATGGCTGCGCCCAGGTGCGGTGAAGAGCCGCTCTGTGGGACAGAGTGGAAAGATTAGCGAAGGCGAGAGCATCCGTGCGGTGAGAACCCAGCCTGAGCCGAGGCGGAGGTTTGTGACACTACATACTGCCAGGCATGATGACTGCAGGTCGCCGCTTTCTTTGGGGCTCTTCCGTCTTTTTTCATCTGTTTCACCAGCGTGGGACTGAGCCCCGAAGGCGAGGAGTGATGGCCGGGCGATGATCTGGTGGCGGTGCCTGGGCAGTAAGGTGCCTGTCTGGTGGGTGTTCCCGACAGTGTTTTGAGTGTCTGCGTTTGTGTTCGGGCCTGTGTTCACATGGTGTTGAGTCAGTCTTTTGTTTCCTCCGCGGTTGGGAACTGGCGGTTGCAACCTGAGGAGTGTTACTGTGCCCTTCTGACATTTTTATGTTCCAGGGCCGGGCAGTGGTGTGAGGGCGTTAGGGAGCTCTCACTGGTGGCCTGAGAGCACACTGTTGAATCTTCCTGTGCTTTTCTTCGAGTAATTCCCCAAGCCCTGGATCTCTGGTTTTGCTTGATTCTGTTAAACAAAACTTTACCGAGTGCCTGCTTGTATATCAGACATTGAAGTCTAGACCATTAAGTAGGTGATGGTCTTCTGTGTGAGCATGACACACAAAGGCAATTATAATGCAATGTGAAAACTGAAGAGAGAGAAACAGCAGGAATTAATCAACACAGGAAGGGAGCCAGCAAACTTAGAATTCTGACAAGAAGAGTTTTAGGAGATAAGATGGCAAGTTTAGGGTTGGTTTATTGAGTGGCTACTAGGTGCTAGATCCTGTTCTAGGTTCTGAGTGCTAGGGAGTGGAAATATAAACAAAATCTACTTTCCTAGAACCTACTTTTCTTGTAACTTAGAGAAGGAAGACAGAATCAACAAATTAACGAGAACATAAGAAAATATGCAGTATGTGTTTTTCAAGAGTTACAATGGAGTGATATAAAATGATGGAGTTCATTTTTTCTAATCATTTAACATTTTATTTTTTTTTTTTTGGTAATGCTATTTGAATATCTACAAAATTCAAGTTACCAAAAAAGAAAACTCCCTCTTGCACACCAGCTACCCATTTCCTCATCTTAGAGACAACTCATGTCACTTAGTTCTTACTAGTAAATACATATAATTTCTTATATGTCCTAGAGATTTACATGTACACTCTGTATACTTGTGTTATACTTTATAATTAGGCCTCATTTCATAGGAATTAAATTCTTTTTAATCTTTGCTATAATGATTTACATACAAGCACGGGAACATTTGGCTATACTTCTTGGTTCATTATAGGCTCTTTGTTGTTAAAGAAGTGCACGGATACACATACTGTTACTGTTTAGGACAATATATTGGGGTTAAACTTACTAACAGGGCATGTGACATCGCTAAACTCTTGTTATCCTGTAGGGAGTGTGTATGATTAGACTGGATTCAGTCTGGCCAGGATTCTAGTAAATAATGACTTCATTCCTGTAACAACCCATAATGCTCCCATACTATGGCAAGGAGCATCCGAGCATTTGTGCAACAGTGGACATTAATTGAAGAGTGAAGTAGTATTGTTAGGAAGGGGGCACCTCAAATCTGAGCAGCTGGTATGAGCCTATTCTTTGTTGAGGCATTTCAGACCTTCTGGGCAAAGGCTTTGCTACCTCACTAGAAAGGGGAACAAATGAACCTCCAGAGTTATTTGGATATGGCTTTATTCACATGCAATAATATCACATAGCTGAGGGAAGGAGAAGGGAAAGAGGATAACAGAAATGTGATTGTGAGGCTCCATCTGCTGGTGCTGGGCCCTTAGTGCCAGTCTTTTAAAAGGATCTATTCTGAATCTTGTCTTTCTCATTTCTTTGTGTCTGTAGTCTTTAGACTTTGCTCATGTGACATATTAAGAAATAAATGCTTAATTCGTTACAGGGTGGAATGAGGGGTACTTTGGGACCCCCAAACTTGCCTGCTCTAAATAGATGCCATCCACCGCATCAAGACAAAACATTCTGTAACACATACGACTTTCAGTAGAAATTAAATTCAATACAATTAGTGTGCAATACAGAGAAGAGAAGGGAAAGAACAGAGAATATAGTTGAAATAGTTTTCAGATGAAACACCCAAAGTTACCCATCCCCTCATGGGTAAATGCTCAGCCAAACAGGGTTGACCCACAACAGGACCGCTGAGACCTAAAAACTTGTCACAAGTCTAAGGCACCTTCTGGGGGGAACCCACAAGAAAGGGGCAGAAGGGCCAGGCAAGTCTGGAAGGAAAAGAGCAAAATCAAGATAAAGGTAAAGGCTGCCATTGTTAGCCTCCCCACAGGTCTCTCACCCACGTCTATTTCAAGTGTTTCCTTCCATGTTTCCCAAGGCCCTGGTACAAGACCAAGGCTGAGAAGCAAGTGCAGCAACTTCACATGTCTCTCCACTCAAAGTACTTCCAGGTCTTCCTCTTTATCTCCCCTCTTCCTTCTTTTCTGTCTTCTCCTGCTTCTCCTCTCTGCTCAGCTATACCTTACTCTGGGTGGGGAGGGGAATCTGGAACCTCCCCTTTCTCTGGGGATCACCCTGTTTACACAGCTATCCTTGTTCTCCATTGCTTCCTGAAAAGATGCTGTTCCAAGTATGATCTTAGAATAGATTGGCAATAACATAGTTCCTTTGAGGGTCCTGAGCATTTTTTTTTTTTTTTGTTCTTAAGCCATTCTGATCTGTTTTTTCTGGAAATTAGTAGTAATAGTAATAGATGTATTTAATCCTGTTACAAAATTGTGAGTAATGTCAAAGATTCACACAATCAGACATTTTATTTGGTAACTACTGATACAAAAGAGCTCACTTCTATTCTGATTTGTGCAGAAGTGATTTGGGTTTTTAAAGGGGAAAATGTGGAGTGGTCAAGAGTGGGAATGTCGTAGAATCAGTAATGTGAAAAAACACAAAGTTGTGGTGTGGAAATGCCACTAGGCCAACTGTGTTTGCTAGCAGGCAGCTGCTGAAGGTTAAGGTTGTGTCCTCCTTCAGATTTTGGAGACAGAGGACCTATCTGTCCCAAGTGATTACATTTCTTATATGGATAGTTAATCTACAAAAAAAAAAAAGGGCCAAGAGTTAATCTATAAAAAAGGAGAAAGGAAAACCTCTTCATAAATGGTGTTGAGAAAACTGGATAGCCACATGCAAAAGAATAAAACTAGACTGCTCTCTTATACCATACACAAAAATTAACTCAAAATAACTAAAGACTTGGATGTAAGACCTGAAACTATAAAATACATAGAAGAAAAAATAGGCAAAACACTCCACAACATTGGTTTCAGTGATGTCTTTCTGGATTTATCTCCAACAGCAAGAAAAACAAAAGATAATTTAAATAATTGGGACTGCATCAAGCTAAAAAGCTTCTGCACAGGGAAATAAACTATACCTAAAATTAATAGAAGATAATTTGCACATCTGACAAGGGACTGACATCCAAGATATACAAAGTACTCATACAACTCAACTAAAAGAAAACAAATAACCCAATCAAAAAATGGGCAGAAGAGCTAGATAGACACTTCTTCAAAGAGGACATACAGATGGCACATGAAAAATGCTCATCATCACTTAACATCAGGAAATGCAAAGCAGAAGCACAGTGAGACACCACCTCACACCTGTGAGGATGAGCCTTATCAGACAGACCACTGGCAACAAGTGTTGGCGAGGGTGTTGAGAAAAGGGAACCATACATTGTCAGTGAGGATATAGACTGGTTCAGCCCCTATAAAAAACAGTATGGAGCTTTCTCAAATTATTGAAGGAATGACTTTCAGCTCTTCAAGGAGAGACTTTTCTGAGTTGCAAGAGATACCCACTCCTAATTGTGAGCCCTTTTAAATATATGCTTTAAGAAATGGAGGTTAGGAGCCTCGGGTGTTGCTAGAACAAATATTTAAATTTCCTTAAAGGTTTGTGCCTTCTCAGGCATTTTAAGAAGTTGGGGTCATTCTAGGGACTAGGCCTAATGCTGCTAGAAACCATATTAGAATTTGGTCACGTTTCTTAGTGCAGGTTTGGATGGACTTGTTATGAGCTGAGAATAAGCACTACTACCCCTCTTTCAAAGATGAAGAATGTGAAACACACAGGCAATAATTAACTCACACAGGGTCATATAGCTAACAAGTGGTAGAGCTGAGATTTGAACCTAGAACTTGGACCCCTATTCACTGTTAAATTTCTGTGAAAACAAAGAAAAATATGACTTAATCTCTGTTCTCAAAGAGCTTATAGTCCTGTGCTGTGGAAAGGAACAGATGTTGGAACAAGGAATTAGTGTAATGTTGAAAATAGCCATTGAACTCTCCCCTTCATGTCTAATAAGGACTCCTAAAGCTTTTTCTCTAACTTTATGCCTATCTACTCTATATTGTCATCTCCCAGCCAGACACTGCCACATATACCTCAAGCATATTTTATCCTAAACCTGACTCATTACCTGCTTTCCTGAAGTACTTTTTCCTCACATTCTGAGTTTGAAGTTTTGAAAAATGATGTCACTGTCCCTCAGTACTCTTAGTTAATGGCCTGTGACTTCTCCCTCCATCATGTGAGTTGTCGTCAAGACCTGCTGACTTTACTTGAACTTTTCTTATACTTCTCTCTCTTCCCATTGTCTTGTTTCCTCCCCTTCCCTCCCCCTCCCCCCCACCCAAGTTCAGGCCTGTATTGCTACTTGTCAGGCAGGTTACTGTAGTTCTCTTGCAGGTTAATTCCTCCTTCCCTTGCTGCCCAGCCAGCTTCTTTACTAGCCTTATGTTCTGTCACATGCACCCTCTGTGGTAGTTAAGCTGGATTACTAGCTGGATTCTTTCAAAGGTTTAGCATTTTCCTTCTATTCATAAAGATTAGTAGTTAGACTTCTGACTGTTTTGAACTTTTTTTGGAATATGATTTTATTTAACCTCCTAAATTTATTTTATTTGCTAACTGAAGATTTTCAAGTGGTGGAGAGGGGATTGGTGGGTCAGCCAACTTTCTCTGCTCTAAAAAATTATGCCTGCCTCTCGTTGCCAAACACATTCATTCTGACTTCAGCTCCTGCTCTCTATTGCTTCACTGGATATCTTCCCTCCATATGACTATATTCTTCTCATCCTTTGGTATTTGATTCAGGTCCACTTCTGTTTTGGTGTCATCTTAGACTTTTTCAGATAACATTGATCTTATTTTTTTCTTATTCATGTCACACCTAAAGTGTGCCATTAACATTTAATTATATGAAGATGTGTCACATTCATTGTTTAGTGTTTCTCTGCTTTCCTAACTCAAAAATTTGTTGAAAGCATGAATTAGATTGTAGGTGTGTGCTGGATGGTGCTGGCACTTGTGTGCTCACCTGTGTGCATTTATCCTTCCAGCAAATTTTCATTGAGCACCAACTATATGTTGCTTTCTTAGACTTTATGTCCTCCTGGGGGAGGTAAGCTAGCAAATGAATTATTGCAAATTGTATTAATTCTTTGAACAATGCGAAATAGACTCCTGGAATGATGGATGATATAGTGCTGATTGGGCTAGTGTGAAGGCCTTTTTGGGAAAGCACTCGGTAACTGCTTGCCAATGGATGTATTTCAATAAAGTGAAAGCCCATTTATGTGGTATTCTTATTTCTGTTATTTAAAAAATTATCAATATAAAAATAGATAACACGTACAGCTTAAACATAATAAAACAAAATCCTAATTAGCTTAAGAAATACCTCTGAGGCCTCTTTGTGCCCCTTTCATATTACATTCATTTCCCTCCCCCAGGAATAACTTCTCTCCTGGATTTTTGTTTTTCATTTCGTTGCTGTTCTTTGCATTTTGCTATATATATTTCTAAACAATTGTGACTGACTTACATGTTTTGAATTACATGTAAAGACTGTATGTCAGGTAATATACTATGTATTCTGTGAAATTTTTTGTTTCACATTATTTTTGTGAAATTTGCACCACATTTAACTAGGATTTCGTAAGTAAAGGAAAAGTTCTTGTGTGGGTAAAGTAACTCATATAATAGAGCTTAAGCACTGGAATGATTTTTAGACATTTCATGTTCTTGCTTGTTTGTTAACTCCTTAGATAATCCTTTATTGTGTATGTTCGCTTTTCTTGGTTGGCAAAAGGTACAATAAGAATTTTCAGAAAGTTTCATGTAGAAATACTTGCATAGGATAAAAAATATCAATAGCATCATTTTAACTATCTCTTCAGAACTCTAAGGCTGACATTTTGTCCTTTTTTTATTTTGCAGTATTTTATTTTGCCATGGAGAGCAATCATCAAAGTAATTACAAACTCAACAAAACTGAGAAGAAGTCCTTTCGGAAACAGATTAAAGCCAGGCATACGTTGCTGAGACATGAAAGCATTGAGACCGTGTCCTATGCCACTCAGGTGACCTAAAACTGTTATTACCACTTGAATGTAAATATGTTGCCATGTTAATGTGTTATATTAATATTTGTTAATAATTGCTCAGAGAAGTCTAATTTTTCAGTCATCTGTTACATTCACATTAAATATACCTATAATGGCTTTGTTCACTTTGCATTGGCCGTAGCCTAGTATAGTTTGAATTTCCATTTCTGTGTTGTAGTTCAGGAATGAGTATTGTGCTGCTAGAGATTTAAATTTAGTAGTAAAAGACACATATTTAATTTAGTTAAATGTTAATGATTTTAGGGAATTTAAGCCAAATTCTTCTAAAAGGAATGGAATAGGTAATAGATCGGAATTAATATGTCTGTACATATTTTACTGTGTCAGCCAAGAGACACCTAGTCTGTGAGGCATTCAGAAGAGGGAACTGATGTAGCCTGCCCTCATCTCTTCCCAGGTGTAACTTGCTTTCTTTTTCTTACAGAGATTGTGAGAAGTGATAAGAAAAACATCTTTTTATAATTATATGTCTTTGTGCAAATTTAATCTTATTTTAAATTCTGATTTAAAATTAAGCAGGTTACTATAAATTGCTCATGTTAGTTTCTTGTTTTGTTTTTTTTTAAGAGCCTGGCTGTTGCCAATGGAGGTTTGGGTAATGGTGTAAGTAGGAACCTGCTGCTTCCTGTTTTAGAGAAATGTGGACAAGTGGATGCTCTCCTAATGCCACCCAATAAACCCTACTCATTTGTCAGATATAAAACTACAGAAGAATCCAAGAAAGCTTATATTACCCTCAATGGAAAAGAAATAGTGAATGATTTAGACCAGAAGATCATTCTGTACTTGAATTTTGTGGAAAAAGGTATTATACAGCTATCTTTTTAAAAATAGTTCTTGCTTTTGTGTGAGTTTTCTTTTTTTTTAACCTAAGGTGGGAGGTCTAGATATTGTGAAGCAAAATAAGACATCTGCTAAGCAGCCCCTTTTCATTTCACAATTACTCTTTAAGTGTCTTTTTGTGCCAGGTCTGGTGCTAGTAGTTGAATGTTCAGAGGTGGTGAGCATAGCCTGTCTTTCAGGAGCTGGCCCCACTAACCTAACAAAGTACTTAGTTATGCATGTTACTTATTTTGGAATCCTGCTACCTAATTGTGTTTTTCAAAATTTAGTGCTGAGGACTGAGCTCTCTAATTTATTTCACAGTGTTTACCCAGAAACTTTCAATTAATCACTTTAGAATTCACTGTGATTCAAATGATTATGTGCCAAGCTTCTTATTTCTGGAGAAATACCTTTAGCTACTAAAAAGCCCTAAAGCTTTTTAGTGATGCTGTCAAATTGATGGCTGAGAGATGATGGTTATGTTCATTTCTGTGCTGTCCAATATGATAGTGTGATTGTAGAGCTGAATTTTTATAATAGCTTAAGTTAATTAAATAAAAGATCTATATACTGACTTATAGACTTGCTCCAGGGATTATTACATCTTTTTACCACTCTCCCATGGAAATGAAATGTGTTAAGATGAACCTTGATCTAGCCATTTAATCTCTGTTGTATTTATTTGCCACCCGTTTGGGCAATTATGAGTCCTTTTTAGATATCCTAGCAGTGGGTAGGTGAGTGTAATCTGATCATTTTTATGTTTTGTAAAATAAGACTCAAAGGAAACTTTTGAAGATTCTTGTAAAGATATATTTAGAAATTAGAATTCTCACTATCTCTATGTATTAAATTTTAAATCTGAATTAAGCTTTAGAGTTTAAAAATTAGAATATCTACATGTTTTATATATTTGTGATCAGTTTTTGAAAACAATATTTTGGGAGTATGTTCTACACTTGATCTTAGCCAAAAGGCCGAGAAGCGATTGGGAGTATGTTCTAATCAGAAAAACAGTCCTTGTTTTTTTTTCCTCTATTCTCTATATTGAACACTGTAAGAAATTGCAGAAAGTGAATTTTAGAGTGTTCTTTATTTGAAATTCTGTATTAGATGCAGGTGTACTTCTAAGACTTGTAATCCTGTTTATAACCTTGGAAATACTTTTTAATAGGAATAAATACAGAGTAGAGTGAATAGAGAATAAAATGAATAAAGAATAGAATGGTGGCAATATTTAGATACTTGTTTTAATTTCTACTACCAGATAGTCACTGAATAACAAATATGAGGTATTTTTGATTCTTTTTTAAAAAAAACTACATTTATGAAACTAAATATGAATTTCTTATATGTAATTTATATGCCTTCAAATAATTCTTCCAAGAGTTTTCCCTATATAATTTAAAGAAATAATATAATATCTGGCACAAAATAAATACTTGGTAAATTAAAAATATACTTTTGTATATTTTTGAAATATTAATAAAATATAGTAGGTATATGTTTTTTGTCAATTTTTATATTTAATCATTCAAACATGAAGTTGTCAGAAAAGCCTCAGAAATCATGTTTGTAACATGAATGCTCAGATCTCTAATAGTATTAGTTACAGTATTCCCATTATTTAATCATAAATTCCTTTTTTCTTTTCCTTCTAGAGCTGTGCCTATCTAAAACTTTGAAGGATACAGGGGCTTAAATTATTTTAATATATGCCAAATAGTTCTTCCTATAGTAGTAATACTTTATTTCCTTAGAAAGTTTTATGTTCTTTTATATTTTTCTATTATTTTGCAAGAGCTAGTCTCAAGAACCTAAAGGTAAAAAGAGCATTTAAATTTTTGTTTTCAATATTTGGAGACAATCTGATTTTTTTAATAGAGTGCCATACTGTATATTGTTTGGGAAACCTTGTTTCTTAGATGTAAAAAGTGGCTCAATTGTGTTCAAACAGAATTTAAGTACATACTCTTTTAAGTAAATTTAAGTAAATACTCTTCTATTTGCCATTTGCAATTACAGTGAATAAAGTGTACCATAATTTTTGTGTTGGTCTTTATTTTTATACTTTTAATACGTTGTGTGCCTTTTAGCGTTCTTTATTCTGAAATGAAGGTTGGCAGTTTTATGAACTGATAAATGGTATTGAACAGAATTATTTGTATAGGAACTTTAAATTTTGATTGTCACTATTTCAATTTGGTTTCTCAGCACAATGGAAGGAGCTGGAAGTTCAAGCCTTACCGCCAGGACTCAGGCTAGTGGAAGAAATTATTACTCCTGAGGTTGAGACAATGCTTTTGGAAAGCATTAACGGGGCAGAAAATACAGATAATCAAAATTGTAAGTAAAACCTTTAAATCTGCTATTTAAAAGTTTTTGCAGAGTACCATGGTACTGCTCCTTCTTTTGCCCTTCTCCTTTGGTTTTATTAAAATTCTTCATATTTCTTCAGAATTGTTAAAATAACCTGAATACAGTGTTAGGCAAGATGTACCAAAAACTCTTGGGTGCATTAATAATAAATAACATTTATATATTGTAGTTATCAATTTTTAACTCCAAACTGATTAATATTTATTAGCCAACATTTGTAGGCTAACATTTATAAGCCTTTTAACTTACAGTATCACATTTGATCTGATCTACCCCCAGGCAGATTTCTTCTGAGGAATGAGCGGTTCAGTCCCATGCCACAGCATGTGGTAAGCACCTCCTGGTGATGTTTGAAAATGAGAGTTAGCCTGTTTCTTTCCAGATCTTTAGCATGTTCAACTCTTTTAGACTAGCTTAGTAAAACTCCTGAAGTGTTTTTTTTTTAACAATTTTTAGGCCAGAAAGAACAGCAGACATGAGGTAGCTTTGTTAATTTTATTAAGGACAAGGACAATAATTAAGCAGTTCACAAAAGTTAACACTAGTAATCATTAACCAAAAGGTTGACTTTGAAACATGAAGAAATAAAACTCTTTCTCACAAATAGTTTCTTTTTTTCTCTTCACACAGCTCAAAAATCCTTAAAACACAGACGAGTAAAGCATTTTGGTTATGAATTCCGCTATGAGAACAACACTGTGGATAAAGATAACCCATTACCTGGGGGTAAGTGTTTGCTAATAAATAATAAATACTGGGTCAGAAGAAAATATTTAATATATTAAAAGTTTATCAGAGTTGAGAATATGTTTCATTTGCCATTTGTAGCAAATTTTAATATTTAATATTTATGTTTTATGTAAATGTTTATAAATATTTAACAATAATTAATATTTAACACAATGAAAATATTCAATATGTTAAAAGTTTATCAGAGTTGAGAGTATGTTTCATTTGTCATTTGTAGGAAATTTTTAAAAGCAGTTGATTAAATTTGCAACATTTTAATTAGCTACACAGTCCAGTTTTACTGTAAAAACATCATATGTACAGATAAAGCTAAAGTTCCTTTTGAACATTGTCCTCACTCCAGTACTTCTTTACTGGGATAGTACTAAGTGACAACTTAGTATGTATTGTCTAATCCTTTAAAAAAAGAGTTTACATCATAATATAGATATCTATGAAAGTTGCTAACATGCAGTATTGTATTGTCTATTATAACTTGTATATTCCTGTAGTTACATGTATCAGTCCAGTTTGTTCCTTTCCCTTAAGATAGGTCTTGAAGATCTTTAGATTTTCATTTTATTAGCCAACATAATATTTATAAGCCTTTTCTAAATAGCTGATTTAGTTAGTTCTCTTTGAAGAGACATTTAGGTTATTTCCAGTTTGTTAACTTTTACAAGTAGTGCAGTGTGTATATCTTTGTACACACCTTTTTATGCACTGTGCATGAGCTCCACTGGAGACTGCTTCTGAGAGTAGTGTTGGGTCAGTCATGTTTATCTCACTATGTTAATAGATGCTGATAGATTGCCCCCTAAAATAGTTGTTCCAGCATATTCTCAACAAGAGTGCATTCTTCCACCCATTCCTACCAACATGTGATACTGTAAAACTTTTAGCTTTGTAATTTCTTGATCACTAGTTAGATTTTTATATTTTCTTTTTTATGAATTCCTTTTGTAATCTTTGCTAATTTTTTGTTTGTCTTTTTTGGCAATGGGATATCTAATTCATTAGTAAGAATTTAGTACATGTAATCCTGTATGTAAATCCTTTGGCATAATTTTTGTTGAAGTTAAATTTATCTAATTTTTAATTACTTTGGTCTTACTTTAGACTTCCTTTCCTCATGAAATAACATAATTCCAATAAAAGTTAGTTCTACTTTAGAAAGTATCTTTTTTAAGGGAAATGCTTTTAAATAATTATATTTAAAGTAAATGAAATAATTCAAAATAATAAAAAGGAAGCAGTCAGGTTAACTTCTAGTATTCCCTACAGTAAATTTTACAATGTTACTGTTTTGCAAAATACCAAAATTGTCAGCAAGGTTGTTCTTTTTGTCATTTGATTTGATAAAATCAATAAAATAACTTTATGACTCTTCAGAAATTTTATTTTTTTTAATTTTGTTTTACTTGAGGCCTTGTAGTTATATATATTTGGATCTGATCACTAAATTTAAAACTTCATGATTTTTATAACAATGATTTTTTTTATTCTTATGTAAAACTTGCAAAGGAAATATTTTTGATATGTTTAACCTTTATGATTATTAACTTCAGGTCTTCCTGACATTTGTGATAGCATTTTGGAGAAGTGGTTAAAGGAAGGTTTCATTAGACATAAACCTGATCAATTGACTATAAACCAATATGAACCTGGGCAAGGTAAGCATTTTTTTAAAAAATTCCTGTCTCATCTACTTCATTTACTGCAGTAGATTATGTAACTCTCTAGGATCAAAGGCATTATTTATTTTTTTAGCTCAAACTAATTCTTAGAGTAGTTTGTTTAGGTTTGTTACCTATGTTGAGTTTAATTCCTTGCAAATCTACATGTTGACCCCATGTTGAAGAATTTGTATGTCAACATGTGAACAGAGTAAACAGTTGCTGTTTGTGATCTCTTTTTTTGTTCCTCTCTACATGTTTTATTTAGAGAAGTTATTGTAGGCTCTATCTTAGCCCTGGAACTTAACATAATAACACAAAATCTTAAGTTATCTCTAGATGATTGCTTCAAGAAATAAGAAACATGTATAATGGAAGAAACCAAATAATTTACAGATAGGAAGATAGCCTAATGAAGGCTATTGGTTGAATCATCTTGCTCTTATTTCTGTTAAGAAAGTGGAAGACAATTCTAGGATGATATTTTTTGCTAATGGCAGGAATTGTGGGATTTTTTCTGCCATTTGTCATAATGTTTCATTTATTATAATTATTTACCCATCAACTTTTCCATTGGCTTGGAAGCTCCTTGAGGATAGGGACTATGTCTTACTGCTTTATATACTCTTATGGGGTGGAGAAGTTCATTTTACTTGATAGGTGCTCAATTAACACAGACCAAGGAATGGGCAGAAAAAGCCATATCTTAATTATTGATGTGCTTAGACTTCACACCTGGCAGTTGCTTTTGTTCTGAAAGTACTTGGGAATGCCTGTTGAAGAGGGAAAAATTGACTGTTACTTATCATTCACATTTTCCTCTTGGAATGGGACTGGGTAAATGTTCTAGTTAGGCACTGACTCTCAAGTCTTGATTTTAGAATCATCTCTCCAGTGGCAAGAAGTTAAGATATTTTTAGTTGAGATATAGTTTAATTTAATCGCATTCACACCAATTATTTCCTTTTAACTAAAATTATATTCCTGATTGTCAAACAATATGGTCACAATAATAGTATGAGACTATTTGTAGAGTTGTCTTAAATTTACTAAAAGGAAAAATCAAGTGATGGGTTATTCTTTTTTCCATCTCAGGAATTCCTGCTCATATTGATACACATTCTTCTTTTGAGGATGAGATCATTTCTCTCAGTTTGGGATCAGAGGTAATGTCCAAACCTTTTTACTAGTTATGAACTAATATCTTACTGTATATATTGCCATTTTCATAGGACTTACCGTGTTTTTTAATTCAAATAAATTAGATTTCAAAATGAAAATTAAAATGTCATTTTTATTTCTTACAAAACATGAAATTATTACAGCTTCTCCTTTTAGATGTCCAAATTTTTATCCATCAGTTCATCAAACTCTGTTCTTTAATTTTTACACACATATAAATAGTGTATGTTTTATATATATATACTTGAAATTAAATGCAGATTTCCCTTGGTGCAACAAATGAAGCAGCATTGCCATCTTGTGGCAAAAGATAGTAGCTGCAGACTATTGAAAAGAACCACAACTATTGTAAAATGCACCTGTTAGGAATTTCGATAAGCTATTTCAAATAAAAAACAAGATTTAAAGTGCTCCATGCAGGATTTAGTTATGAAATAACATGCATTTGTAGAGGTGTAAACTTATTTCCTCAAGACATACTGTGTTTTAAATCAACATTACTTCAAAATAAATATAACTTAATAACAACAAAAAGCCAAAAGGGAGAAAAAGAAAATAATAATATAATAATAAAGTGCACCATGCAAACTGCAGAAGAATTTTAGATAAAAATCAAAATTTTAAACCTAGAAGGATCCTTAAAATATGAGGTCATTTAGCCTAACTAGAGGTTGCTTCAAAATCTGACTTATCCTTGGAGGCAAATAATAAATACTACTATTTATTAGTATTTTTTTTCCCATTTGTATAGTTCCATCAGTAGGCCTTTAGTGCTTTGCTTTTTAACTTTGCTGTGCTCCTATCATGCTGATATTGTGACTGTAGAGTCCGTGCTGTTGGTCTGATTTGACAAAACTATCCTATCTACCATATGTGTAGATTCTTATTACATGTTTTCAAAAATAATGAAGATGGGGAGGAAAAGAAAGAGCTTTTCTCTATCTGGCTTATTATTTTACCTCTTATCCTGGTTTGTAGCTTTAGAGGACCAGTAAAAAACATCTTTCCCTTTTTCTCCCGACTGAATGATTGAGAAAAAAGAGAAAAGATAAGTGGAGAGCAGAGTGTCAACTTTACTACAGAGAAAACGTGGGAGAGTGTGACTTTAGGTCTGTAGCCAGCTGACTTAATACTTCAGTTTGGAATTAGATATACTTACTGTCCTTGTCGCTGGCACAGCCAGAAAACTTGAAGATCTCCCTCATAGAGGCAGGGGCTGCTCTTATATCATAGCACATGAAGGAGCACATACTAGATTCTGCAAACCAGCTGAATGTGAAAAAGAGGGGGTACTCAGCCAACTAAGCTTAATATGAACTAATCAAACCTTACCAGTTAGCTAAGGCGTGCTTTCTTGCCTGGGGAGTTGGAAGTGAGGAAGTAGAGAAAGGCAAGGCGTGTTCTTCTTAGACTTTCATTCCCCTGGAAATTCACTTTCCTTCTAGGGAATATGAGGAATAAGGGACTAAATGTTTCTCCACTATCCTATAAGGCCTTTATGTAGTTTCTAATGAAAAGTTGTAAAAATAGGAACACTTGCCTTTTAGTTGCACTGAATATCTGCTTTGTTATTTCCATTTGGAGTCTTGGAGGCATGTAATTTTTAGTTACCAGTTTTGAAATAGGGGCATAGGCAGAGGGCAACAAAGCAAGAGGCTGGATGGAAGGATCAAAATGGCCACCCGCCTGCCCAGGTTCTGAGACCAGAGAGCCACCAAAAAGCCCCCTAGGCCAAAAGGCCAAAAACCAAAACCAAGGGCTATAGCCTAACAAAGGACAGTGCCCGATAAGAGGACAGGTCACGGTGGGGTCTCACCCGTGCGCACAATTGCAAGAGACCTCAGGCTCAGGAACAACAGCCATGGGGATTATTTACGAACAGGGGAAATAACAAGCTCACTGTACCCACAAGTGGCGGCTGCCTCACCCAGGCAGCATCAGTGATAGTCGCCACCGGTCACCAGGAGTACAGGACAGCACCGGCCAGTAGTGATGGGCACTACTGGTCCTGCAGAGGTGGCGTCAGAGATACCCAGAGTTAACAGCTCTTTGTGAGTTTCTGGGTCATCCCAACAACAAACAGCTCTTTGAGGCACCAGGCCCAGGGCCTTTGGTGCCCCTGTCAGGTAATCAGAGATCTTCGGTTTTTCTTTTCTCCTTGGAGGTCAGCTGCTGGATGCTTCTTTTCCCCTCTAAAGCTATTTTTCAAAACAGAGTCTACAGTTCTTGTCATAACTCATAGCACACCTTCTTTGGAGGCCCAAAATGGAGTTTTCTCCTTCTTTGTTCTTCCTTTAGAGGCTGGAACCATCTTTTCTTCAGGGGCTGGTGTTGTCTCTCCTGTTTGTCTTTTCAGGGGCTGGTGTTGGCTCTCCCCAGCTCCCTCTGATCTTGGCTTATATCCTCTTTCAGGGTGTCCCACCCACAAGTCTGATTGGACCATTTTTCAATCCTGTAGCTGATTGGACCATTTAGTACCAGTCAGCTCATAACTTACCCCTCATTGGTCCATTTGACAATCCAGGAAGTACACTGTTAAATAAAAGGTCTCTGAGGAGCAACTGCCACAACTGATGAAAAGACAGTTACTGGGCTCTGAGGAGCAACTGCCACAATTGACTTGTGGAGCAGCAGGGGGAGAGGACACCACTGTCCTGCGGGCTCCCTCACTAAGGCAGCTGGGTTCCAGTAACCGTTGAAACAGTTGAAGTTATGGAGTTTTCAGTTAAAGCTTCTTTCTGATAGCCAGAAGGCATGCTATGAGTTATAACAAGAACTGTAGACTCTGTTTGGAAAAATAGCTTTAGAGGGGAAGTGAATCTTTGTAATTTGGAAGTAAATTTACTAAACATTTTAACTTAATGCTATTTAAAACAGTATACTATATTTAAAGCCCTTTATTTCTTTTATAAAATGGAATTAATATCTCTTTCCTAGTGGAAAGATTGTGATGGAAATAAAATGTGTTAATGAATGTGAAGTTCACTTGTGTAAACTGAGAAAATGAGAGTCTGCTGGCAGTTCTTAAAGTGCAGTCTTTATCTCCTTTGTATGGAGGTAGATCTCCTCTATTCACGCTCCTACTGGAAGGATAATGGCAAAGAGACATACCTATTTCAGCCAACAATCTCCAAACACTATTTTACAGTGTGACATTCTACATAGAACATTTTGCTATATTTGGAGCCTCAGAGCATTCTTCTATCTTTTCCATTAGAATTTCTGCATTTACTTTGTAGCAGGTCAGTAATATATTACACCAGTTATATTGTAGATCTAGAATAAAATTTATCAACTGAGTGCAGAAAACTGTAGTAGAAGTTTATTTAGGAGATACAGTTAGAACCAGTAGTTGGCTGTTAATTGAAAAGTCACATAAATTGAGGAAAAATAATAATAAAAGCTATATATGCATTGCAAAGGTTTTATTTTAACTTACATGAGTTCACTCGCCAATATTTTGATGTAAGGCCTTTCTGGAAGGGTCCACAGTTGACCTTGTCTTTCTACTTTCCATTTCTTTAGAGTGAAGCAAAATTTTCAAGATACTTTTGAAGTCATCTAACTGTCAGGCTTTGTGTTTTCATATTTTTACTTTCAAGATTTTATTACGAGATTATCACATCTGTTTCAACAATTGACTTCTGTTATTGAGTCTTTCAACAACATTCGACGTACTTTATTTAGAAGAAAGCCTATTTTTCTTACTTAGTTTTCACTGCTTTACATAATATTTAATAATTAAATGATCACAGTAACAAGCACAGCTGGTACAAAGAGGGTTGGGAACATATACAATTGACTTGTCGTGCAGCTGGTGAGACTAGCAGTGCATGAATACACTGGAGAGTTTCCTGTTACCGACAGGCATTCAGGACATGGGTATGCTTTACAGAAGAAATGGATGAAAAGTTGTAAAAATGGGAAAACTTGCCCCTTAGTTGCACTAAAAATCTGCTGTAATTACTATTTCTGGTGAAATGGATGTCTCTTAAAAGAGTTTGTATTCAAGATTGTCTCAGGCAATTTTGAAAGATAGGAAAATATTTCTCGCCTTGATATTTTTTGTCCTGGTTATTCCAACTCTCTAGAAGACAGTTTCTCTTTTCAAAAGAAAATCTTATTGCCTTCTCCATTTGCTACTCACTGCTTTTCTCCCATACAAAACAAAACAAAACAAAACAAAACAAAACAAAACAAAACAAAACAAAACAAACTTCTTCCTGGGTTTCCTGTACTACCCACCAATTGATCAATTTAGAATCTGGCAAATATTCTTGATAAGTATTTTTAGATTATGAATTTTTTCTTCAGGCACTGTTTTAGTTGCATCGAACATTTTCTTTTAAAAACAGATATATAGGTGTATATAGGGGTTTAATTGTCATACAAATAAACTGCACATATGTATACTTGTGAAAGCTTCAGCATATCAAATAATGAACATATCCATTCTTCCTCAAAGTTTCATCATCTTTCCCTGATCCTCAATACCTGGGGTTACTTAATATCTTCCAGAGTTTTATAGGCAGGAATCATATACTGTCTACTCTTTGCTGTATAACTTCTTTTACTCAACATAAATTTTTGAGATTTCTTCAAAGTTTAAGCTTAACTGGTATTTTACTTTCTTGCTGGCCAATCTAAGAACTTTAGAACTTTTTAACTCCATTACTCACTTCTAATTTATGTGCTATTATTATTATATATTTGAATTTTCTTAATTTTTAAAGATATTTCCTTAATTTTTATAGTCAATGTTCATTTAGACATATTTGCCACTTTCTTTGTCATTCTTATATCTCACATCTTTTATCTGGGATTATTTTCCTTTTGTATAATGGACAGTCTGTAAATTTCCTTTAGTCCAGTTCTGTGTTGTTGGCTAATTCCATTTTATTTTTGATCTGCAAGAACTTGCATTCTCCAAGAATTTTTTTCACTGGGTATAGAATTTGAGGTTGGCAGCACACTAAAGATTTCA